TGTGGCTGGGAAAAAATAAATCTCACAAAGAGTGACTTTCTGGTGTAATCATTATAATATCAAAGACAAGCACTTTTAGTAACAATATATAAAATCATTCAGCAGCAGAGGTTGGGGTGAAAACAGCATTTCTCATCACACCTCCTCTTCATCCCATCTCCTCATCATATCCAGATCTTCAGCATCATCACCAGTGTCTAGACCCTAGGGGGTTCCCTATTATGCTCACGGCTGCATTTCCCCCTTTAGATATACGATTTCAGGATCGGGGTCTAATCGCCAAAGACTTAACATGTATCATATGGCATGTGTCAATAAATGTTCTTTAAACAAAATGAAGTCTCTCCTGATTTAACTGTCTGGACCACATCCTCAACTTTTTTTCAAACCATAACATGCCTTCAGAGGGCTTTCCTGTTGATCATGTTTGGTGGATTTTTTAATAGAATCATTGTAATCAATATTATATTACCTTTTAATCTATATAGATTGTATTAAAAATTGTTGTCACTATTTTGTTCACCTAGTTCTACTATGCCAGCCATCAGAGGTATACATTTTGTAACATCTCTTTTAGGTTTCATTTCTTATATTTGTGAATTTCTATATAAAATGCTAATTTTGTGGGAATGCTGATACAGCATTCCAACAATATGTTATGCTACGGACGAAAAGTTTATTATTATTCCATCCAATTATTTTGTCCGTCTTCTCCTCCCACATTCAACATCGCAGAAACTCCGTTCAAACATCAAAACGTTCAGCTCGGTTGGGAATCGATGGCTATTTCTTTTATCATTCATAACTTTCATAATTCCAGAGATACAGCCCATAATTCATCACAGTTTTAACCATTGAAGTCAATGGAGAAAATCTTCAGACTTGAACAATCTTCATGCGACTTCAACTGCTAACTGTTCATTCATACTTTCACTCAGAAACCTCATTCCAACTTTAAAATGTTACACATCTTTCTGACATTATTTGTGTAACACAACTTTTAAATCTGATTCTTACTTTTAGAGATATTAAACATTGTTCAGACCTTGTTAAAGATGTTTTCTTCAGATTTTAACATTAACGAGAGTACGTGATGTCACAGCTAGAGGGTAAGAAATCTTGAAATGTGCCTTCATATTTTCTTTTAAAACTGCCATAATTCCCAAACCCTACATTCTTGAGACATAATCTTTCATGATAAACGTAGGAAAACATCTCGTAGCTTGAAATATGACAAATAATTAAGCAAAAATAATTAAACAAAATGCCTCTTGAGGGCATGAAGTGACAAAAACGTTCAACATGTCTCCATTAAAGCCCATTGTAATTTCAGGCAGATATTTCCTCACAGCAGCAGCCGCACACCTTTCTTAAACTGCCAAAAAGGCCACATTATTAACCCGAAAGTAAACAGATACTCAACTTCCTTGACATGCTTCACGTTTTGAAATTTCACAGATATCTGTTATCGTTCTTCCACATGTAAGAGGTTCATCTCTCATTCAGAACAATGAAGCCTTTGATGTCTTCATAGCTCGTTAGCTCAACTATAAACACCTGTGTTTGAACACGATGATGTCATCACTCCAACTGACAGCAGTCAGTTCTAACTGTTCATTACATTCTCACACACACACTCTCTCTCTCTCTCTCTCTCTCTCTCTCTCTCTCTCTCTCTCTCTCTCTCTCTCTCTCTCTCTCTCTCTCTCTCTCTCTCTCTCTCTCTCTGCCACACCGGTCCATGCCTCAACAGCTCTACGCCAAATCTGAGATCTCACCATATGCCGTTTCCATGGAATATCCCTCGCCATAAAAGACGATGTCGCTATAACTCCTATGAAAATGTTCAAAAAGTGCTAAAACTTCAGATGTGTGCTAATAGTCCAGCCGTGAAGACATCTACGGGATAGTTTTGAGATTTCTTCAAATGCCGTTGGCATGGCGACAGATCATTCACCATCAAGTTAGTTCAAAGGTTTGCAGTTCAAATATTCTGCTGCTTTTCCAAGCCTTTTTACTCTCTTTTCTTCTCTCATCACACATTCAAGCCCCCAGTGTTCATGTATCATTTCAATCTAAATTCTTCACTTACTTCTTACACATTACATTTCAGCATAAAGCATTCCCACTAGCAATTTCTTCAGGAATTGCATTCTCTAGTTTCTACCTGAAATGCTTATGTATTTTTAATTACATTTTCGTAAAGCTTTGACTTTTTCAGCTGAATAAATATTATAACTCTAGATGGTTTTGTTCAGCATTGCCAGCTTCACTGTTGAGCTTTATGTTGTGCCCAGCATTCTCCTGTGCTCTGAAATCAAAATGTGGATAAGCATAAAACAACACTAAAATAAACACTACAATACAACTTGTTATTTGACACACACAAGGTTGTTCATTTGTGTGTATAAATATACAACACAGGTTATATACATATATATATACATATACAAGTATAATTAATACAACTGTTAATTTGATTAGAGCTTTGACACATATATCTTTATTTATATATGTATAAGTATGACGACTTCCTCGGGCGATATCATATGGTATAGCTAATTAATCTGGGTCAAAACGTGTTGTGCCCACATGCAAAGGTTGTAAACTCTGGCTTATCCCTGTGTGGTATTATAGTAATAGCAAACAGCAACGTTCAACTCCTTTAATGGTATATTGCAAGTGCAATAAGAAGCTACAGGGACGTTAATCTACGTCGGTAATATTAACTTTATTTAACACAAGATTTACATCATACAGCCCATGTATGTAGTATAATATTTTACAAATGATGAATTACAGCAAACACGTGCAATATATCCATTATTACAGCTCCGTGGGCTGGCAGTAAGGCGATATGGGTCCGTTCTTATTGTGCATCCATGGGTAAAGGTAAAACTCATGTAGTACTGAACACGTAACATGAACGTGCCGGGCGGCGCGGTTCCGTGGGTTAGATGCACGTTCATAATGCAGAGGGAAATAACTCTCAGAATAACGTTATTAGCACATTTTTACAACTTGAGGAACGAATGTTTTTAATAAGGGCTATACAAGTGTTCATACTGGGTAGTTTATTTAGTTTAAAAAAAATTATCCAACGATTTACAGACCACTCTTTCCCCATGTAAGTCAATGGGAAAAAGTGTTTCCGGGCCTGGCAACCAAACGGAAGTGTAGTACCGCCGTTTGGCCACCACGAATATTTTCATCTGAGTCCGGACCGGCGCACTTCCTGGGGGCTTGATCATTACCCTCTCTCGTCTGGGCGCTATGCACAGCGCCCAGACGAGAGGGCAGCAAGTGCAGCAGAAGCCAGCTGTTGCTATCTTTAAACTATGCCGCCGAAACATAATTTCAGCCAATCAGCGTCATCAAATCTGATGGTCACAGGGCGCCTACGTCAGCGCCCGGTGCAGTCTGTGAGTTGTTTGGACTCGTATCCAAGGAGACAAAACAGGAAGCTGTCATACACTCTGGAAGCTACCATTAGCAGCTATTATGAACACTCAGTTTTTGACATAAAAATTGAATTATGGATCATCAATAATTTTTTCAAAGTGACAGACACATTGGATTAAGCTATGGATTAACCTTCAGCCGCGTTTTTCTCATTTTTGATCAGAATAACAGCAAAAGGTGAGCATATCTCCGTGTTTTGCTACCTAAAGCTACGTCGTGTGATGTCTGTATTTGCTTCCCCTGTCGTGAGTTCTGATCGCTCAGTGATGATACTTATATTTCTAGAATCTGTGGAATCTCAGCTTGTTAGCATAAGCTTGTTTGTGCATATCCGATAAGTATATCGATTGATTTATACCTAGAGTGCGTTAGCATTTTTTCGCTCAGGGCTCATTTAGACGCTTCTTGTGAGATTTGTGTTTTGTTTCGGTAAACATGGTTCATATCATCAGTTACCTGAGTTTCTTCCCGTTAAATGAGTAGGACACATGAATAGTTTATTACATTTTAAAAAGCCCTGAGACACAGTTTCGTGAGAAAAAAACGGGGGAAAAAAGCCCCTTAACAGGTTAAATGGGAATTAAATCATTTTAAGTAATTTTGAGTGTTCCCAAAGCTCTGCAGTTTGTGTGGGCCTACTGTACTGTTACACAGTTTATGCTGTAGAAAATATGTCCAGGACAAGGTGTTTGGAAGTTTTGGAAGATTCATAGCTAACCACACTGAAGTTATGGAGGTATTGATCAGTCTTCTCATATTTTTAAGCCTCAATTTCTCCTAGTCATAGCCTTAAGTCATCATTTAAGGGGTATTTTCTCAATTTTTTTTACCGGGGGAGCATCCCACCGGACCCCCCTAGTATTGTTTGGTCACCATTTCCACAGCCCCACCTAAAATATTTTCCACCAGCCGCCACTGGAGTAGCCTATGTAAAGAATGCGCAATATAGAAAAGTAGAATAAGTAAGAAAACGTTACATATATATGTGCATATGTAGGCTACAAATGTTGATTGTGTATAATGTATATATATTTGTATACATATTTGTATATTTGTATTTTGTATTCCTCGGGATTGTGGGAAACGGTATTTCGATCTCTCTGTCTGTACACACAAACTGAAAGATTGACAATAAAGTTGACTTTGTCTTGACTTTTGATTTTGACAGAGCACTACCAAAAAAATTATATATGCTATTCAATTCTTAAAGTGTGCAAAGTAGCTGCAGTTTTTTAAAACTACATGTTTAAATGCAATGAGGTAGTGTGAGTACATTCTGTGCAAAAAACACATGAGCATGTACTGCATGTATTTAACGCGTGACACATCTTCCCAATATAAACGATCTTTGTGTTCACACGCCCAGCCTCAGCACCAGCGCATCCTTTCTCCACGGGGCTTTCCCCCCTCAGTGCGCACGACATTAAGAGGAGCCATGAGAGGGGTGAGGCCTACAGGATAAGCACACACTGCTGGACCCTCTTCTCCCCCCGAGCTCGAGTCTCTCGGTCCGGTATGTCGGTGAGCCTGCTCTCGCCATGCCCGCTGCTGAACGCTCCGTGCTGCCGCTGCCGCTGCTGCTCTTTCTGCCGTCGCTGCTCCTGATTTCCTGCCTGGATGAGGCGGTGGGAGCAGCGGAGGAGGGCGGCGGCCTGCCCTCCTCCTCACCCGGGGACAATGGCCTCACCGTCGCAGTCGTCGGAGAGCAGTCCGCCACCGAACCCACCGCCCCGGGTAGGTTTCCCAGCACCACCGCGGTGATAGAAGGTAAACAAAAACAGAAAGGAGCTGCCCGTCATTCAGGCATTGTTAGGGGGAAATGGAAATGAGCTGCAACACAGGAAACAGTGACTCATAACTGGATCGTGGAGGAGAGCATGCTGTTTGTTTTTGGTAAACATATTGTTTCATTGCCTTTGGTTTTTTTTGCATCAAAGTGCTGCAGCTTTATGTGATGTTTTTGAGGCACATGCTGTAATACATTATACATTCAGCCAAAATGCCATTTAATTACTTTTAACACTCCATTGGCAACATAATGGATACAGTATGGATGAAAATGAGTCTGGCCAACAGGCTAATAGGATTAGGGTGTATAATGTGGAGGTTTGGGGATTAGGGTTTTTATCTTTGTGTCCGAGCAGGTGATGTATTACAGTACCTGTGCTCACTGATGGGTGTTGTTTACAACTCAGCATGGATGGTGGATTTACATATTAAACAACAACAACAAAGGACATTTGTTCTGTCTAGTCACTCCGGCTCTGTGTCAGATTTACATATCGAGACAAGATTCATATATATACAGCAAAACAGGCAGTTTGCACTGTACAATCAAATGATTACGCTCAGCTGACACTTGAATATTACAAAAATATACATACAAACAAAGATATAAACTAGCATAAGAATTTCTGTAAATAAATACAAGCTGACTTACATTTAAAAATCTCAGAATAAAAGTGTATGTATAAATATATAAATAATATGCATAATAACAATGGATAGATACAAAAGTATGAATGTAACAGTGTACAATATACAACAATATAGTGACAGCCAACATGAGATATAATTAAGCTTAGCATCACCATACTGATAAAGACTACAGTGCGTTACAAGAACATTCATATTCAAAACAACAGCAGGGAGATTTCATATATAACCCTTTCTAATCAAGCTTCTTCCCCCCCCCCCCCCCCCCCCCCCCCCCCGAGTCATTTACTTCAATAAGACGGCAAAGTGCATTCTGATAGAGATTAGAAAAAGACTGAAAAAGGATGAAGCTCAATAAAAAGTAGAAAGGTCTAACATGGCGCTTGTGATGTATTTCCACCCCGCCACAGACGCAGCGGTGCCTGCCTCATCACTTTTTCATGGTGAGAGAAAGGTTAGCTGTACTGCTGAGAGGAAGTGGCTGAGGCTGCTCTGCATACAGATAGGACACATGCAAAGACACACGTACTACCAAGTACTTCTAGCAACCAGCCAGCGTACCAACCTATTAAGTAACTAAGTACATTTACTCAAGCACTTAAGTTTCATTCCACCGGCCATAAGACTATTAAACACCTGAACTCTGTAAAGAACATCCATAAACATTCATCTGTTTGCATCTTGCTCATTATTTATCTAATATATCATATTCCATGTACTTATATATAGTTTCTTCTTGCACTATTTCTAGTTTATTTGTACACATTTTGAGAGAATTCACTTCCGTTTTTTGCTACTTTGTACTTAGGTAAATGGTGTACTTTTCCTCCACTACATGTATTGAATACCTTTAGTTACTTCACAGATCTGGATGAATGATGTGAAATCTAACCAAGTGTTAAATCAGACTTTAGTTCCACCTGGAGTAAATCCACAAGCTACCCTGCAGTATACAAAGTCATTCAAACTAGCTGCACCTTTACCAGCTTTGAGAACACTTTCATGATCAATCATTATAAAACATCATATATATTATTTTGAAATGGACCAATCTTTTAGTGCTTTAAGTATATTTTGATGCTTATCCTTGTACATAAGTAACATCTTGATTGCAGGACTTTTACTTAACATAAGTACTTCTTCCACCTCTGATTAATACAATTGATTTCCTTGTGGGATTTTGACAGTGTAATAGAACGTTTGTACATTTGGTTGCTTTAATAAAACCTGGCCTTTTCTCCCCAGAGCCTGAGTTTGCCCTGAGGGTCCTGGTGAGGGACCTGGTGACCCGCCAGGCGCTGCCGGGGGCTTCAGTGGACGTTTACCTAAACCACACCCTGAGGAGCTCCGTCCGAACGGGGGAGAGGGGGGAGGTTCTGCTGTGGGTGGCGTACAGCCCAGGCCTCAGCCTTACTCTGCTGGGCAACATGGAGGGCTACGTCCCCAGCCCCCTGCCCTGGAGCTCCACCAAGAGACCCAGTGAGTGTCCCCACAACAACTTATAAAACCTTTTGGCTATTGAAGAATATGTCCGATTTCTGAGGGAAAGATTTGCCCAAATGTTGTCATTATTCTACCTTTGAATCTGGCTTCTCTGCTAAAATGCTAATCGCTGAATCCAGACCAGCCCCAAGGTCACAGCTGACCCTGACCCCCCCTTGCCGGTGAAGAGGATTTTCCAACAAGGATCGATCGGACCAAACAAAAACCTAATTAAGCCATTTAGCTCTTTCTAGTACTCAATTGAAAACGTTTTGCTCAAGGACGCTTTTCTCTTCCACAAACACTATTTGATATTCCTGTAGGAGTCCGTTAAAGGTTAAGTAACACTATAACTGTCCGATTTTAAAATAGGCTGTGCAGCCATTTGTGATTTATGCCAGCAACCTGCATTATTGATGTTCATTACAGATGAATGAAGTGTCTGCGACAACACACAGCGTGTCACAGAGGTTTGCTCATGACGGAGCGATTTATGTTCAAGTGTAACGGGACCCCTTCATTGGATTGATTTATTTTCTTTACAGCAGCATGTGTCTGACTCCAGCGTGGGGGGGGGGGGGGGGGCATATTCCTGTCTTTGTCCTGCGCCCAATCCCATGAGGAGGGGGGTGGGGGCTCCACCGCCACACAGATCTCATGTTGGTGTAAAAGAAAAAAGGGGCACGGGTCTATTGTCCACTTCCTCTCTGAAATGGACAGAAAAAGAAAGGAGGTGGTGTTTACATCAAAGATGGAGGAGGGGGGATGATGAAAGAGTGTCATCTGGAGAGCTGCTCTGCATGATCACAGGCGCCTCCCTTTTGTGCCGCCCTGCCGAACCCTCAGAAGAGGATGGAGGACGCCACCTGCTGGCGGTGTTACAGATCGACAGAAACAGCTCGTGTTAGGAAGTAAAAACTGGAGAATGACACAAATACTTCTCTCCTTACTCATTAAATCACTTTTAAAATACAAATAACATCTGTTTTTTCCATGTTTGTTCTCAAAGGATTATTTATAGATTATGTCAGTTCTTTAATGGTGTCTTTTGTCTCTTAGAAAGACATTTGGAAGCTTTTATAATGAAGAGTGTGTGTTCTGTTTGCAGTCTTCTCTGCGGTGACGTTGCTGCTGCTCCCTCACAGTCAGGGGAACATCTGGCTGTACCCAGACTCCGTCCTCATCACCGGGAAGTTACCTGGTGAGGTTCAAAAAACTGCACACATATGTACATTTTAAATATGAATAGGAGACAGTCACCACTAATATGACTATAGAGGTGAACTATGATACTGTTTTTGTTTCTCAGATAAATTCAAATTTAAGCCACCAACATCCTTTGGTCTTTTTTTTTTTCAAAATAGATATTATCACTTATCTTTCAGATGGTCTAACAAAATCAGAATCACTTTACACATTCGAAACATACTGTGTCCAGATGTAATCAAACGCCTTCATGTTTTATAGACAGCTCATCCCAACCCAAGGTCCAGTTCCCGAAGAGCCTCCTCACCAAGTCCGATAACAGCAACGTCTCCTCGGTGACGGCGTACCTCACTGTTCCACAGCACCACCTAGCCAAAGACTGTGCCAACTGCACCCCCGGCCTCATCAGCCAGAAATCACGTGAGCATTAAATAAAGCCTTACTATTGTTTAAAGCTAGTTTCTAATCAATTGTCCCTAAAGAATCCAGACCCATTTCTACTTTGGAGAACATTATGGGGAACATCATTCAGACTAAATAGACCACATAGAACACATTTCTGACAAGTAACCCCCCCTAGTGTCAGATATTTGAAAAGTGACATATATGTCGTTAATGGTAAAGTCATTGTTATTTATAATTGAATAAATTAGGATGATTTTTTGGTTAAAATATTCTATATTCTTCAATTTAAACAAATTTAAACTAAATATAATTGAATCGGCTAAATGAACTAATCATATTTCTAATTGTGACATACTAGATTTTCTGATAAATGTTAAGGTTCCGATGTGACATGAATGTCACAGCGATATTTATCTCATTTGTTTCATATCAATTTGATCATGAAATGTTAACTGTAATAAAAGACATGTTATGTAAGCATCATAATTCTTGAATTGCTTGAATCTTACCTTAAGCAACAAAAAACAAGCTTTTGAAATGTAGCTATTTCTGTCACATGTGTTAGCCTGGCACATCTTGGACTTGTTGTTATGGCAACACAAAATCACATGACCCACCAGACTGTTCAGTGTGTCACTTAAGGACTTCATGAGATAAAATAAAGGCTACAACTGTATAAGGAACTTTCCAGAACATTTAAATGTCGTGTAACATCTGTGTCACCGTGGGTTCTTATTGGTTAAAGACTTGGTTGGGCACAAAGGGCCAGCATCTTTGAATGAAGCAGATTCTTTCAAACTATAATATAAAAAAATGCAGATCCGAATGTAACCATGTAAACGTCCTCTGACTGGATCACTGCTTCCTGTGTGGGAAGTGTTGAGAGGCATCGAGCTGAAGGCGGTGGCAGCGGTGGATATCCTGCTGTACTCTGAAGGTGAGGAGCTCCAGGTTCGAGGGCCCATTCACATCAGCCTCCCCCTGGGACACAGCACCCGCCTGAGGGCCTCTGACACCGTGCCAGCCTGGGCCTTCAATGTAAAGACAGGTGAGGATAAAAGAGAACAGAAAAGACACACAATGATGTTAAAAGAAAGACTGACACATGCTAATCACAAGAAAAATAACCTCAAAAAGGATCATATATGGTGACATAAAACAACATAGTATCCGTCAATTGTACACTTAGAAGGGATCATTCAGATTGCTTAAAGGGGGATTATATGGGGTACTAGTTTGTGGCAGGTGGCACGTCCTCAGTTTGGAGAAACAGAAAGAAGTTCAAAATCAATATCAGCTTGAATGCACGCTATATTTAGAATATTTTCACAGCTTTACCTTGGTGTCAGACAGGTCTTTGTGAAGGTGATACGAAGCCGTTATATCGCTCTCTTCAAAGCCACCAGACTCCATTGACAAAAACAATCATTTTACTTTTTGACTGGAGTTAAAAAAAAAAATTCCCTGCTGGTGGTCCACTCCATTTCTCTGTAAATGACCTCATTCAACCCCACCGAAAACATCCACACTATGGGTTTTGGAAGTAATATGGTCTGTGTTTACATTAGCAAGCATCGCTAACACTCAGAGCTAATGCTGTGCTGGAGAGAGTATGTGTAAAGAAGCAGGATATAAAAGGTACTGTCCTTGTGGTAAACCCGCAAGAGAGAAAGCGTTTGAGCTCGGTACTGTTTCAGAAATTATCCCTGATGTGGTTTGGAACATGATATGGCGTTTAATCACCGCAGCGTTTAGCTGAGTTTCTGCTGGTAGACAGCCTTCTCTTCACAGAGCTCACTGCTTACATGCGGATGCTCCAAAGGGGCGTGGCCAGCAGCTCCAAAGGGGCGTGGCCAGCAGCAGCTCAGTTACAATTAAAGGGCCAGACCCAGAATCAGCACTTTTGTAACAGGGCTGAAACAGAGGGGTATGAGGCATGCTACAATGGGGGATCTGTTTGGTGTTTTGAGCAAAACACTTCAGAGACATGTTTTCTATATATCTGAGACCTATAATATATGCCTACAAATATTATAATAGGAGACCTTTAATGATCTGTTCCATTCCAACAGGTGCCTGGGAGAATCAGGGTCTGGGAATAGTGAAAGCAGAAGGTAACGAGCTGGTTTGGACCTACACTGCTTCCCATCTGGGATACTGGATCGCCGCCCCGATTCCCTCATCACACGGTACCTTTCCCTTCACAAACTCCTGTAAATGCAGATTGAGACGTTTGTATTAGTAGATCTCTCATGTCTATGTTTTTATCTGCGTTTAGGTTACCTGTGGCATGGAAGCTCCTTTGATTTCACATCGTACCACGCCTACCTGATGATGGGAATTATGGGAGCGTCGCTGGCTCTGGTCATCGGGTGTCTCTCCTTGTTGCTATGTCACTGCGGGTAAGAGATCTGCTCAGAAGGGGTTCAATATGCAGTTTAAAAAAACAAATGTTACATTACTTGTTTAGTAAGACTTCATTATTTTATAAGTATATACATATATATATATATATTATAGTAGTACAGTATATATAATGTACTATTATATATAGTACATTTTATGCACTATATATAAAAACTCTTATTTACAGTTGTCTTATTATTATTGAGACATAACTAGAAAATGTATTTGGGGAAATCTTAACACTTTAACTTGCCATTAGTTCGTCCTAACAAGTGGAAAGATCCTGTATTCCATCCTGATTCATCTCTGTTTCCTCCTATAGGCGAGGTTCTTATCGAGAGCCTAGGAGGAGAGCACGCTTTTCCAAACTCACAGTGGTGAAGAAAGACCAAACCACCTCCACCCACATGGAGGAGGGTTTGCTGTTCCGTTCTGGCGACAACAGCCTGGCTTCCTGCAGTGTCCAGTGCGACCCCTCCCTCACACCGAGGCATAAAGCCAACTACAACATCTATGTGGAGGATCCAGGGGGCCGCCCGGGGGCCGCCCTGTACGAGAACATCGCTCTGGATCGGATCAAAGGCTCCCAGCAGCCCTCTCACTACATCAACAGTGACGAGGTGGCACGGATTCGGGAGAAGTCGGAGCAGAACCGTTCCAACATGAACTCTACAAACTTCTTTCAAGATAAGCTGCTCCACATGGCTATCATCCAGGCTCCGGAAAACTGCAAGTCGGCCACTTTCCCCCGCAACGACGCTCACTCAGATCCTGATAAAGACAACTACACCCAGACACTCCCCAAAGGTGGAAGCAGCCCCCAGCAGAGCAGCCAAGATGACCCCCAGCCTCTGGAGACCCCTCCTCCAGGCGCTATGTGGGGCCGCTACAATAACCCGCTGGAGTCCTCCGTCTCCGTGCCTGGGACTCTGAACGAGGCGGCGGGTATGGGGGGGCACGGGGGTCCCAGCGAGCTGCAGGGGATTTCCGAGCGCACTTTGCTGGAGCTGACCCGGGGGAAGTCTCAATCCCGCGCCTGGTTTGTCTCCTTGGAGGGGAAACCGGCCGCCACGGTGCGCCACTCCATCATCGAGCTACAGGGCCGCCACCGCCCCCACAGCAGCAACGACACCAGCCTGGACTCGGGGGTGGACATGAACGAGCACAATGTCCGCGAGATGGAGCGCGACAGGAGATCCATCCGGGCCTCCTCCCTGCCCTACCGCAGCCGGGGGGGGCGTTACAGCGAAGAGCAGGACCTGAGCAGCAGCGAGAGCGGGACCACCGCCACCTGCACCCCCGAGGACCCCTACCTCAGGAACATTTTAGACGGGAGCAGCGGGGCCATTCCGAATATCCCCGAGGAGCGAGACGGGATGGATACGTCCAGCGCTCAGGAGGACAGCGAGTCCAGAGGGACGCCCCCCCCACGCCGCCTGAGGAAGGTGAGGGAGAAGGGGAAGACGGAAAAGAGGAGCGCCAAGCACGTCCGCGAGGGGAGACCCCTGACCAAGAGAAGTTAGAGCATGGCAAACATTACGCTTTTTTTTTTTCATCAATGCTTAATTTAAAGGTCACCTATTATTCAAAATCCACTTGTTCTCTGTGTAAAGAGATTCTGAACGTTGCAGGAAAAAGAATTTGCTCACTTTTTGTCCTGAATCTCCTCCTAGAGCACCATTGTGTTCTTTTTAACCAAATGTCTCTCAGAGGGGCGTGGGGAGGGGCTCCTTACTTTCATCTAAAGTAACAGACAGAGAATCAGCACTTTGGAAACAGGGCTGAAACAGAGGGGATTATGGGATGCTGCAATGATCTGTTTGGTGTTTCAGCCAATCAGAGACATGTTTTGAATATATCTGAGACCTGTAATATATTGATGAAAAACAGTATAATAGGGGACCTTTAAATGTCACATTGAGCTGTTTTCATCACATGGCGTCTTTCAAATGAGCTCTCGCAGGCATTGTTGGTGTTATGTGATTGTACAACTTTGCCAAAGAATGCATAGCTCAAGATAACAAGCAGGATCATGTTTAATCATAATGCTGTTTTACGAGTGTGTGCACCACCTTTCTCCTGAACCTGAACATCACCAGCGAGACTCTTCACAGCTAAATGTCCGTGAGAACACCACATCCCACCGTCTCCAGTCCCGGCGTTAAAGAGGGTGCCTTCTTGCTGCCTGTCATCATTAAAATATGATCACATAGGGCACAGTATTTGTCTAGATTTAGTCAAATCCGGTGAGTTTGCAGGATGGACACAGTGCACTTATCCTCACCATAAATGCCTGCTGTTAATGAATAAGATACACTAGCTTACTGACATGATGTTGTCATCATTCGGCCTCATTATATTGGATTTCTTAAGAACTATCTTCAACTTTCCACCTCTCACTGACTCCACTGGATTCATTGTGAAGCTGCCATTTTGAAGTTTTAACACCTGATATTTAAGGTTTTAGGCCACGATAATTTTAGAATGCATGAAAATGAATGTTTCCTCGCGTGTATGAAAATATTTTGTAACTAACTTAGAGCTTTAGTCATCAGCTGTTTGATTACTTGGGGGCTGAATGATACTTTTCATTGTCTTGGAAAGAGACTCAGTGTTGTGCTGCCAACTGTAAGGGATTATAAAACAAAAATACCCCAGGACTACGATTATCACAATTTATGAATCACACCAGAAGCCCAGCAGATACACTCTGAAAACAACAACTCTACACTTTACTCAATTAATTTGGTGCCTTGGAGTTTCCAGCATGTATTCCCAAACCTCTTAATACTTTGTCCTACATGTATTTACATCCTGACTCTGGGTATGACCGTAGAAAGAAAAATGTTTTTTAAAGGATTTTTTGAAATAATATTTTGTAAAGTGAAAAAACGGTTCAATATTAATACTACACGCTTTGTTAAAAGGAGAATTCTAACAACACAACTGACGTGTAACCTACTAACAACCAATTTGTATAAAGAAGGATTTTACTTTAAAAAAGAAGTCTGCCATTCTCATCTGTCAGCTTTACTTTTGATTCCAATAAAGCACACTACACTTTAATATGTGCCCTTTTGTTACACTGGCACAAAGAGCTACATTTTTAGACTCTATTACGGCAACAGCACAATATCTGAACACTGACACCGGTCATCCATGATAACGTTTGGCAAAACATCACCACAAAGCAGTTTTACGAGCAATATTTACCATCATTTGAAAATCTAAAATGGAACTCTTAACAGTTTTGCCATATTCAGTCTTCCGTATAACTGTAAAAATGTTCCCCGATGAGTTCACTTCGTGTATTAGGCTGGATTCTGTAGCTACATTCATGTGTTCTTCTGTGTGTATATAGTAAAGCAACATTTCATGTATTATGTGGCTGTGATTTCACTTGTTTTGTGCCGTTTTTCTTCCATCTCAAAGTCTGAGAGGTGTGTTTCGGTGAAGGTTTTTAAACCAGTCATGAGAGGTTATCCGTATGATTTGTTTAAGGTTAGCCTAAAGAGTCTTTTAACAGGGAGTGTACAACAAGCCTGAGCTTTGTGATTTTTAAATGTAGCAACAAGTGGAGCACTTAATCATTCAGTATGCTTACAAATGAAAATATCTTCTCCTGGTAGCCATCAGCTTGAAAACACAGCACACAGTCGTTTGTGAACTCTTTGTGCTGATGTACTGCCACTCCCGTTTTAAAGTGATCTCGCTGAATGTATTTGTATTTATTTGAATGTGTTCTCCAGTGTGCCCCTCTTGTGTCTACCCATTGAACCTTGTGGGCTTTTGTTTCTTCCAAAATGGGCACCTCTTGTGTTTACCTCTGTGATTATGGTAGTGTTATTAGTATTGCCTTTTTGTGCACTAAATTAATAAACTTACTTGATACCAAACATTGTTCAGACTTTTCATTATTCAAATTGCTGTGTGTTTATCACGACTCCAAAAAGTTCCAGCACTGGGTTCTCTCTGAGCGGCCCCTTTTCCACCAAACCAGTTCCAGTTCTAGCTGATAGTATATATGTATATATATATATATATATATATACTATCATATGTATATATACAGTATAGTATAAGCCTATATTCCTACTACTCTCTCTCTAGGTCGTCCTCAGACGAGCCCTCCATCGTCGCTTCCAGTCATCCCGGTTCTCCATACATCTAGCCAGTTCATTGGTACTTTGTGCTCCTGCACTGCTACTGCAGTATTCTTTACCTTTTTTAAGAACATTTTAAATGATCCTGAATTTTTTATATTGTAGTATGTGTAGTTTAATGTTGAACACACTGCTCCTATAACAAAATATCTATCTACAAAATATATATCTATCGATCTCTCTATCTATCTCTCTATCTCTCTATATATTGGTCAGAGTCACTGGAAAGGCAGAAGGCCAACTTCCTTTCACTGGTTGTCCAATTGGGGGGGGGGGGTTATAAATGACATGTCCATCCAGGGGGACGGGGTTGGACTTCCTCAAGGTCGTCAGTGTGGAACTAAAGTGGGTAACCATACCACCTTTTATACCTTCACCTGGCTGCTATATCGCTAAACTGTTACTGCTACTGGATGTCCATCTTGTAAATTGTGTAATTTTGATAGAGATATTAACCCAGATGTTTGTACCCACGGTGAAACAGATGTTACATGACATATAAATGTTCTGGAAAGTCCCTTATGCTTATAGAGCTTTAGCCTTTATTTGATCTCATGAAGTCCCTAAGTGACACACACTGAACAGTCTGGTGCATGGAAACATTTAAGGTTAACTTCGACCTCCGGGGGGGTCTTACTATGGAGGAGTGGATTGAGCAGTGCCTATCTCCAGAAAGCACCTAAACGACGACATGCAGAGCTACGTGAAGAGCAGGTAGACCAACTGGAAAAGTACCACCATTCAAAAGCTTTCTGATGCGGGTCTTGAAACAAAGCAGAGAAATGATGACCGTTAGTGGCCACAGGTGCGAAAGCTCTCTCCAGAGCTACTGCAAGCCGAATCTCGGGGACCGGAGAAAGTGGAGCAATATTCTCTCCACGCCAAAGAACAGCCTAGAACAACCTCAGCCTATACAAGTAACCACGTAAGCCATGCTACTGATGCTGGACAGTTTTTCAGTGGCTGCACAATAAACGGCAACTTTTTGAACTTTTTGAAAGGACGTCCCATTGCTCTTAATATGGTTTTAGGTTGCTGTTGAAAATGACTCAGAGTTGTCGGATGTGAGGGAAGGGAGACAGAGTGGAATTGTCAATGGTGGGGAAGGGGTTGTTATTGTTGTTGGTGAGGGATTTGGGACCTTTGTGGTTTCAATTCTACAATAAGTGAAACACACAAACCAAAAGACATCAAATGTTTGTAGCACATACACTCATGACTGCCACTTTCTGACCTGAAACATCTGCTGGTGACAGGGCATCAAATCTGTCGGCACAATGCTGAAAATCCACATTTCCACATAATTTCCGTTGTGTTTGATGACATGTCCTCTTCTGTGAATATCAGGACATTTGAATCTAATTTTACAACATCCTCACATCTGTGCAAGTGGTTTCCGTTAAGCTGTTTTGGGACTGATAATGCTTCATGGGGTCATGTTCTGGCCAATAGCGCCACAAAAGTCCTGAAACATGACTGTAGTGAAACCTTTTCAGTAGGGGTGAGAATCACCAGGCTCCCCACGATACGATACTATCGCGATACTTACGCCACGATACGATAGTATTGCGATTCCTACAATATGCTAAGTATTGCGATACGATATATTGCGATATTGCAAATCACATGGGTCATATGTCCGTCTTCCCTTCCTGGTTAAAACATGTATTTGCAATTTGAATAGTTTATGTGAATAACCCAATGTGTGTTCTTTGAACCTGAAAAGGTTTTTGTTACTTTCATTGCAATTGTATACATGTCTTAACGTAACTTCCTGTTTTATTTACGACCATCTTTCGGAGGGATATGTTACAGTTTATATACAAAAAATAATAATAATACAAATAAAAATAAAGTTTATATAATAAAATATCGATACTTGGCATCCGTGTATCGATACAATATCGCGATACTATGCTGTATCGATTATGTCCCCCACCCCTAATTTTCAGCAACCGGTAATCCATGGAGCAGTTTCAAGATCTGTGTCTCTACAAGTCCACGCTGAAATGAATCTGGACGGAGCAGAAGTATTTTTTTAACATTGCATGTCAACAGGAGAACATTTACAGTACAAGGGTGGGTCAGCTATTTGAAAAAGAAATAAGCACACAGCATCAAATACATAAGACAGGTTCAAAGGGAATTGTTCAATGTTAGATGCAATATCGTTTTAAATACTTTTTTTTCTATCATGTTCAATGTGCAAAGATTCAGAACCAATCTTTTAACAATGTATCACATAATAAAAAGAGACCATATTATTGAATAAAATAAACTGCTGAAAAAAAATGGGGCTTTGGATCAAACTATTATTAAAATGTTTAATTTTTGTATTTATTTAGAACCAGCTGGGTACTTCAGATATACCTTTTATAATAGTGTCTACTTTCGTCCCTCCTTACATTACGTTACTTCAATTACATGCATTTA